GGCAGCTAATGGGAATCCTCATAAAGAACAATGAATAGAGGCGTCCCAGCTCCCAGTTCACTTCAGCTTGTGTCTTGAACTACTTTACTTTGGTCTTAAGTGCAGGGCAATGTCTCAGGAACATTTAAAAATGCTGATTGCTACAAAAGTGAGCACTGATTGCCAATTTCCTTTGTTTGATGATCTCAGCGAGAAACACTAAACTAATCAGTAAACTGGAACCTGGAGCAGGAGTTATATAAACCCCACCGGGAAATTCCTTTGTAATAGCCATTCATGACTGTGCCATTTGTACAATTACATTGAAGATCAGAAAAACTAAAGTTAAACTAAATTGACAAATGCATATGTATATTTATGTGGAACTTCATGAGTGGACGAGATCACAGGAAGGAAAGACCTCCTATGGCATCCAGTGGCGCATTTAGTTAGTCTTAGTCTGGCAAGTGGAACAGTGTGCAGGGTGGGATATATTGTCCGTATTGAAGATACATTTTTGGCAATATCTTCCTCTCTGCAATGAGGGAGACTTCTGAGTTTGAACTCCAAAAAATATCTAAATCATGGTCTCACATACAGTAAAGGAAAAGGGCCTTGGCAGGACAGAGAGTTTCATTTTATCCTAGTTATTTGCCCTCCTCATTTCCACCATCCCTCATATAATATACAAGAATGATAGGAGTCCTCGATCTTTTCGAGGCCACTGCTAACTCCTTTCTCAATGCTAAGCTGGAGCTGGATAAGTTCACACCAGACCACAAAACCGTCTACCACCTTCTGGTAAAACTGCAGAGAGCTTACCAAAGTAGTACCACTGAAATTTAAAGCAAAAATATTCTTTAGATTCAATCAGTGACTAAAACAGCAATAAAAATCCACATTAGACGTAATGTGATGCAAAAAGTGCATCACAACATGACTCATTTACTTGGAAAATGACTCATATGTAAAAACCATTTAGTGATTTAAGATGTTTTAAAGGAGTCACAACAGGCAGAACATCCTCACAAAGTGGGGTAAAATAAAAACAATCATCGATCCGGTAAAATCAGACTATGTCACTTTGTGGCAAGCCCGGCAGCAGCCCAAGCGGCCCGTCCGCTTGCATAACAGGCGATATTTTCCTGAAGAAAACAAACAGCCAGTGTTTGCCCAGAGATAGGAGCAGCTGCTGCACACCTGCCCATGGCTCGCCTCTTCTCCTCCCTGAACAAGTGTAGGTCTTTTGTTGCAACAAACAGGCAGGTGATGGGCGCCACATTCACGTAGGGTGCAGCTTTCAGCACCCATTTAATTACCAACACGTCCTTGACACATGAAGTGCAACGAGACCAGCCCTTTTCTTCTATAAATATCAGGAGAAACGCCTGCTTTGGTGACTGTGCAAGCAGAGCCCAGCAGGAAAAGCCATGTGGATGCATGTAAGGTCTGTAAGAACAGCATGCGTGTGACTGACTGTGTGTGGACTATGGACTGATTAAACAGCGCGTGTAACAGTGAAAAAATAATCAGAGGACACTGCATAAAAGTGTTCTACCTTAACAGTTGCATTAATCTTTTTAACTACTCTGCAGAAAACTGCTCCCCTGGGTGATTAAGTAGGCCTGTAGTTTATTGCAGGAAAAAACCAGCAGTGCTCCATACACATAGAAATGAACATCTTTTTATACATCCCAGATCCACTCAAAGACTTTGATCATAATGCTTGTTTGCCTCCCTTTATAAAAGCACTGATAACCTCTGAAGTCCAAAAAACACCCTGTATTTGTTCGAGCATTACATCTGACATACTGGCGGCACAGTCCTGAACTATGAGGGACACTTTAAATATAGACTTCATGAGAGGGCAGTGTTAGTGCAGTTGGGCTGTGGGATTGTGGACGGGATTATAATATTATGATATATGGCTGCATTCATTCTACTCTACGTTTCATTGTTGTCATGCCACGCATAGCCAGCGCACAATGCAAGGATCACTTTTCTGCTGTGTGGCACAGTGCTGGCGTTGTGTTCGTGCCCTTTCAGATACTTCGTCGGGGGAAAAAGGCCTTAAAAATCACTCAGCTTCCAAAATGCTGCAATTTAGCTTTTCACTTGAGCAGCCCTGTGTATTTGTCAGTTGCAATCTAGACTTCATGTTCAGTGGCTCGCTCTGTGGCAGCACCTATTTCTCTTCACCTTGGCCAGCTTTGCAGATACTAAATATAAATTTTAAATAAACATATTTTAATTCCTTCTGCGCTAAACGGTCTCTCTGGCAGAAAGGTCAGTAAGAGACGGAGATAAAAACTCAAAGACTAAAGCTAATGCTGTCTGAATAATTTATAATACTAAGGATGAACGCGTTTAAAATAAGAAGCGAACATTAAATCGTCTCCTCTGTATTAATAGTTAAGACCAGAGCATTTATTTTGTTTTCAAAAACGTTCGGACACACTAGTGCAACATTTAGCATTAGTTTGCAACTTCATCGTGCGCTCCTTCACCCTTTTCCAGTGACAGGAGAACTGATGATGAACCTTACCTTCCAGCAGCAGCAGCAGAAACAGCGCGACGATGTTTCCCCGAGAGAAACCACAACTTGACCCCATATTCGCGAACCATAGGTGAAAGTTTCTGAATGAAAAGACGATCCAAAAAAGTTCCTCTGGGCGAAAATTAAATAATAATAATGATAACAAGAGCAATAATCAAACCGATAAAATATACAAAGATGGGGGGTATAAACCAGTGCGCGCTCTGCATCCAGATGAAGTCCTCAGTGTCCCATAGACGGGCTGCTGTGTTGAGGCTACAGAGGCTGCTGCTGGGCTGACTGGCTGGTCTGGTGGGGGGAGGTGGGGGGGAGGAGGTTCACTGCTTCACTACTCACTGCCCCGCTGCTTCCGCAGAAGCAGGGCGGCATAGCATCTACAGGAAATTTAAGAGCATAATTTAACAGCAGGTCAGTCATCTCATTAAGGATCTGCGCGGGGGAGGTGGTGGGGCGTAATTATTAACAATTATGACTGGGCGCGTAATGGTTCACTTTAAAGGCACAGGCGCTCTTTAAAGGTGGGCATCAGGTGTGCTCGTTTTAGTAACCGGTTCATTATAACAGCCGTGTGATAATTGTAATTGTGCCTTTTTGTTTAATTTTGCTAAGCTTGAAGTAGCTTCGATGAATTCGTTTGTTTAATTCGGTTGAATAAAAAATAGACTTTGAGCACAATGTTCCAGTTGGTGGCAAGAATTAAGTGAAACTCCTGCCAGTGAAGTGACAGGGCTAAGTTGTTGTTGTTGGGTTTTTTTGCCTAGACATTTTATTGCATCCAAGTACTCCATGTGGATAATTAACACTCCCCAGCTGAGTAGAAGTCCTCTGCAGTCTTTGGATCAAAGTCCCAGAATGAAATCAGGGGGTTAAATGATGTGGGACCGTTCCTCTCTCAGGTCTGAGTGTGTGTGCGTGTATGTCAGAAGCTGAGGGTGTGTTAAAGAGCGGGATCTCTGTGTGACTGAACAGTGAGGAGATAGCGTGGAGTGATGCATTGCTGCAGCCTCGGGCCAGGACACCAGTCACTCTCTCAGCAGTGTCTTTCCAATCAATGTCTCTGCATGGAGCAAAAACACAAAGGCTCACTGGGCTACAGAAGATAAAGGGGGCTTTCTCAGACGCTTCACTAACTTTCACCAACTGGGAGAAAATATAATAGCTGCTACTTACAGTGCTTACATTTTCACCTCCCCTCACTGAGCCGTCAGTATCTTAAAGAAGACTTTAAAAACAATATGCCCTTAAATTGGTGATCACAGGAAGGTTAAAGGAGAAAATTAGCTGTGAAGCTGTAAAGAAAGAGATGGCATTTTAACAAAGCTAGATAGGTTGTATGCTTCTGTACGTTTGATACGAAAAGAGTAACCTGTGAAATTGGTTTTATTGTTAATACTTTGTTTTGAAATCAAGCATATAGTTAGGGCTGGATCAGGTGACGCTGAATCCAACCATGCACTGAATGTTTCATTTTCACTCGCTATGTTTTTATACACCTCTGCACATAATCATGAGTTATTATTCATCTCTGGCTCTCTTACATGGCACGTCTTTGTCTTGTCTTCCTCCCCTCATCTCTAACTGGTCACAACAGACGCCTGCACCACCATGAACCTGGTTCTGCTGGAGGTTTCTTCCTGTTAGAGGGAAGTTTTTCCGTCCTACTGTTCCCAAAGCATTGCTTAAAGGGGGTCATATGATTGTTGGGGGTTCTCTGTATTATTGAATAACATGATAAGCAGTTTATTCAAATGTAATGCTACTTGCTGTACCAAGGGGCATTATGTGATATAAGAAGCCAAGAAGTCTGCCTGAGGACAGTGTATTGTATCTGGGATAATGTTTCCATATGACAGACTATAGGTATCCTGAGACGTATGCTCAACGAGAATCAATAAAGAGAAGGAAATACGGTGGTGTGGACATGGCATCTGCAACCACAATGGTTTTCTATGTGCTTTAAGCAAGTTAAAAAAAATGCTCTAGGCTAAAAAAAATAAATAAAAAAAAGGCAGCATAGATTCTTGTTTTGACCCTTTTGATCTTTATTAGCAGCAGCTTTCGATACGTAGGTTTTAACCTCCTCGTGATGTTACTCCGAATGAGTCAGCTAAATGCTTCTATTAAAACACAAAGCTTTCTGATGGCATGCAAAACACAAAAGATATCTTTAGACCTGTGTGGTGAGTGTATATCGATTTCATTTTCATCTCTCGACCAATCAGCAGTTCATTTCCATTGCTGGCACCATAGTTTGGAAAGCAATTAAGGATTTGAGTCTTGTTCAGGAAGGCTAGATGCACCTTCTGGGATTCAAATAACTTGTGCTCATAAGACAATTACCAAAACCCCTACACCATATTACACAATGTTATTACTGGGAGGTGTATGCTTCTCAGGAGAGCTGATGGTCATTTCATGATGTACACCACCTGACCTGATGCTGAGGGACACTGACCTGAGCGCGTTCAATAATGGTACATATACATTATACATACAGATATAAATCACTCAACCTGCTTGTCAGTCATGAGGAAATATTCTGATCTATTACTGAGAATGAACCCTATTTCACTAAGTAAGAGGCTTCGAGTGTGAAATGTGCAAACTAGAACACATGTAAAGGGCTCGGGGTCTCTGAGAGGGGCTCGTCTGATGAAATGGATTTGTGTAATTTCCCTGATTTTTCTAATGAAATAAGTGCAAAAGGTGACGGCCCCATTGATGACACCCCTCTGTGTGCATCTTGACCCCAATTATAGTACTGTGACTTGGACAGCAGATGGTACATAACACAGAGACACACATGCACACAGGAGGAGTGGCCATGGCAACAGACTCATAATGGTTGTCCTGGTGTGTAGTGGAATCACTTGGCCTAATTTGTTAAGTACCACCTCAATATATTTAATTTAATCAGTCTATTCTGAGCATAAAACAAGTGTTATCAAATGAATCCTTAGCTGCCCACACTGACAGCTCGTCAGACATGTTCTTTAGAAACAGGACAGTGCTTTAATGGGTTTCACTGATCAGCATTTTCACATTTTGTACACTGCTCTGCATCTTGCTTTTGATAAAAAACATGTGTGGTAAGTTTGCATCTAAGAAAAGCAAACTAAACTAATTAAGCCTAGACCAGCAGGTCATTTTAAAAACTCTTTTAAACTCCCACAGATGCTCTAATAATCTATAATTTACAGAGAAGAGTGCTTTTAAAAAGAAAAACATAATAATTTTAGTAGCTCATATTATATTAGGTCAACATACATACACGTCATCCCTGAGCCAAAAGTCCAGGCTTCAGACTGCCCCTAATGTTTCTGAGCTTCTAATAGTTTTTCTCCATTATCAGGTCTGCATGATGTCAGAGAGACACACACAGCTCTGGCTGTGAGCTCGAAAGCTCCGCCCACCAGCTGTCCACACCTACTATTTACAAAGAGCAGCCAATCAGAAGAAAGTTAAAGTAAGGATCCATTGAATGGTTGTACTAAATTCCAGTATAACATAAATAAGGATTATAATATACTCTAGCAAAGGAAAATTAAAAAAAAAAGTTTAAAATTAGCTTTAGAGGCTGCCTTTAAATTAAAATATAAAATAATACAATCTACAGAAGTGGGATGGATTATCCTGCTTATATTTTGAGGAAAAATTTCTTCCTGTAGAGCAGGTAGGCGATGAGCAGCCACAGTGCAGTCCCCCACAGGCTTTGAAAGAGCCACTCCCAGTGGCTCTGCTGGAAGCGCATTTCCCAGCTGAAAGGGAAGTAGAAGCCCAGGAGAGAGTGGCCAACATACACAAAGATGGAGTTCATCCCTGTGGAAGAGGGGTGGAAAAAAGACAAGTTATTGAACAGGATTTATACAATTTAAAGGATTTTTCCCTGCTTTCCATAATAGCTGAATGACTAAAGTTATGTGCAAAAAGTAAAGGCTTTATTGCAGGGATGCTTTCCAAAAAGCTTTCCAAATGAGCTAATCAGTTTAAACTCTTCTCTGGGAGTCTGGCCAATAATGCAAAAAAATTACTGGAAGAAAAGAGTGAGGACCACAAGTCCAAAACCTAGACTATAATCCCTACAAAGGCTTTCAGGACATTTGTTATATTAGGCTGAAAAATGTTTGTCTTTGCATAATCAGCTAATGAGTTGCCAAACACAATTGTCATTGTAGTCAATATTTTAAACTACGTTACAGCGTTTGTGAGGTTTTTATTCCAACCAAAGCACATACACCTTTGTAAAGCAGCCTGTCAGTACAAGAAGAAACATACCTGGGTATATGAATGGCTGTCCACCCCACCAGCCCTTGATGTCGACGACAAAGAACATGCCTCCCAGCAGCAGGAAAGACAAACAGCCCATACACATGATATAGGACAACGACCTGAAGAAACAGACCATCGACAACACTTTACTACAACAGCAACATTTTACTTGGCACATTTGGGCATCACTAAAATCTGAGCAGAATGGTGTGAAGAACAGTGTAAACACACTCAGTCCATCAATCCTCTGCTGCAGATAAATAACACCCAGAGTCTGTCCTACAAACAGTGAGGCAGTTTGCTGGACTTGTCTATAGCATCAGCATATGGACCCTTGGCATGTGCCTCATGGAGCTGTGCCAGCTAACCACGTCTCTGTCTGTTCCTAAGTGCAAGAATGCATGATGAAATATTATCGCATGTAAAATGGCTCCTTTCTAGAGCCTCCCTGCATTTATTTTTTATTTCTTTATCTCAGCTGAAGTCGAGCCAAAAACGACTCTTAGCTTGGAGTTAATTACTTTTAGACATCCCGGCAAGGACTTGTACCCAGGAGCTCAATAACCTGTGCATGATGAACTGCCTATAAAAGCCAGGTAGGTAATGGCAAGTGATGCCCCATGTGGAACATCATGAGGAATTTGCTTACACATCACAGATGAAATGGCGTTCTTCCTGCTACAACATTTGAATGATTCACATCACATATAAAGGGAAATGTGGGAGTGGAAACAAATGCACGAGTCATAAAGTAACCGATGTGTGAGGTGGTAACTGTGTCACATTTCATGCAAAATCATTACAAACATTTACCAAAGTGCTGTGCCTTGTTTTTCTAAAAAGGCTTCTAATAGTTTGGGAGCAGTTAAGACTGCGTTGTGGTTATACAGTTACATTTCCCAGAGTCTGAGCTCTTTCCATCACACAGAGCTGGTAAAACAGTGAGTGAGTGCTTCTGGGGGAGGATGAAGCATTCTTTATTTCGCTGGCCGTAAGGAAGAGTGATCATGTTGGGAGGATGTATAACGGCAACACCTCACACTCCCAACAGCCCGGGTGATTATTTACAGCCGTAGCTGTCGTTAGAGGTAAGTAAACGCGTGTTTTAGCAGCCTTGATTTGTGTCTGTTGGAAATCCCATCCTTTCTTTTTTTGTGAGGAAAAGTGGCTGGATTTAGAGGGTCAGGAAGCACTTACCAAAGGTTTTTATTGACAGGTATAAATCCTCCGTCTCGCGTGCACTTAGAAAGGATGGCTGCGGAGATTCCCTGAGGGTGGAAATGAAACAGATTTCAAATCGATGGAGGGCGATAAAGCAATCTGTATTGGGCTGCTAAAACGTGAGGCAACAGTATCAAGCAGAGTCCACCAGATAAACCGACAATCAGAGAGTTACGTGGACATGGTCCATTAACTTATACACACACACAAAACACTAGACAGGACTGCAAACACACCAAAACAATGAGCTGAAAAACATTAAAACGTGGGTTTGTCACTACAGTAAAACACCACCGAGAGGCATCTACAAAGTCCAACACACTGAGGCCCAACTGACTCCATGTTCATATTTACTCATGATCTGCTCAACTCTACATCAGTAAGCACTTTCATAGTCTTAACTATCCCCCACCCTCCCTGTATGATTTAGATACATGAAGAAAGATTTTGTGCTGCACAGAGAAACCCAGGACAGCAGATCAGGATCCAAACATGCTCGTTAGGTGGATATCCATCATGTGTATAGATGACAGAATCGATGGTGTGGAAATAGCCTAGCTGGGGCTGGATTGAGTCTCCAGGCTATCCAGGCAGCAGGATGTGGGATGGGGCTGGTATGTGGGGCAATCGCTCAATTTCAATCTCTCACTTCTGGAGCCTGATCGTTGGACTTTAATTAACAGGGGCTGCTGTTTATTATGAGGAAGACACATGGCTGCCTGTGAATATCAGCCTGCCACAGAGATCACAAAACAATAAACCATGGCCTGATGTTTACTGTATCCACACTTTCTGTTTTTCCTGTGCTTAACGCCGACCCAGTTGTCGGGTGTGTGCAGTAATAAGTTTTCTCCTCCTCTGAGGAAACCTGCTAATGTTAAGAGCACATGTCTGAAACAAAAGGCAGCTCGGCTCTGCTTCCTGCCTCCCCCTTTGAGCCGAAATCTTATTAGAAAAGTCAATATCAAGAGCAGGCCAATCGCTAAAACTAATTTTGCTTTCTGTGTTGGTAAGACATACAACCAAAAATAGACTTAACCACTGAGATTAAAAAAGTCAAATCAAATATACACGTGCAGAAACGGTGAAACAAATATATGCTGCGCTGATTCTTTATTCCCGTGTCTGTTCCTAAAATCAATAACGATGGTCTGCTCTCACTGCCAGCCGATGCAATGTGAGAAAATCTATTCTATTGCATTTTTCTATCTCAGCTAACCAGGATTTAAGCTACTCTGTCGAGCCACATCTAAATACTGTAAGATCCAGAATATCGCACCTCCAACACTGTAATCTTGAGTAGCATCCGCAGCATCTATCAGCTGGTAAACAATGAGATACAGTGGAAAAAACATTAAAGCCTAATGTTTATTTATGACAGCATGAGCTACTTTGTCACTGTGCGCCGCTGGGAGAAGCTAAATGGATCTAATTTATGTCACCTCCCTCCAGCCACTCATCGCACAATGATAGTCAATAAGATTCAACACCTGGAGACATAATGGAGCTTTGTCCTTTAAGAAGTGAGGTTAATGACGTTAAATTCTCGCAACAGAATTTCAATTGATTCTCACATATACGAGCAGGACTCTGTCACTGAGTTTCTTCCTACTGTCCTTTTGGAAAATACTGTCTGGATGGAAAAACGCTGCTGTTACAGACCTTTAAAACTTCACTGAGATATTGTTTTGGACATATTAGACTACAAAAATAAACAGATTTGACTTGAAAAACCTTATGACATAGTAGTAAATAAAATAAACAATTTCTTTAACACCAGAACCTTCAACGCTGTTTCAACTCATGTGTCAAATAAGTAAATAAACGTCTTGCAGTCATACACGTAACACTCTGAAGGAACCTGATACCCAAAGCTGGACAGAAAAGGCACCCAAATATACTGGAACTACAGAACTTCAGACAAGTCTTTCCCTGCTTCTGTGTGTTTTTTCTTTCGCTGCACAGATTTTCCGTCCTGCGCAGCTTGATTTCAAAGGCCGTGCGATGCAGCCAGCTCTTCCAGCTCTATCATCGCTCCAGGTCACAGAGCTGCCGGTTCAGGATGTCTGCCTCCACAGCACGCAGGCTCCTCCTAACCCCGTTTCACAAATGAGCTATATCTCTGGAGCATCACGCTGCACGTACATAAAAACAGTGGCAAGCACAGTTCAGCGGAGACTAGCCTTCCTACGTGTCTGTCTGTCAGTCTTGCTAGAGCAGACTAGCAGCCTCCTGTCACAGGTTTAGAAATACAAAACAAGCCATCTCCTGTAACACTTGGCTTCTCCCTGGAGGACGCATTCCCCCTCTAAATGAAATGGAGGCCAGCCTGGCTCTTTTTGTGTTTTAAGACCACCCAGAATCTCAAACAAATATGACCTTAAAAGCTTTTCAGACAGGCATTACCTTTTTATCCTAGGTTTGAATGCACTTTAATAATTCCTTTCTTAAATCTGCCATGTTTGGTTTGCTTATTGAGACCTCGCTTGCAGCTTCCTAAACTGATCATACTCTTAGAGTAGATGCTTTTATGCTTGCAGCAGACTGTAAGTAATATGCATAACTCTTCCAATCCAAAACCACATGTAAAGCACAGAGAGGCAACGAGACGCAGCGTGTATTCCCCCGAGGGTCCGGATACCCATGTCTGCCCGGAAACACAGCCACACATGGATGTTGTTTAATTGTACTGAGATCACACACATGTCCTCTGCTAAGTCCTGCTAATGAATGACTTCAGCAAGCTACAGTATGACTAATACCCAAGAGGCTGGAAAACACGTTGCAGAATTTACCTGCAAGGTGAAGTGAAACACTGAGACCATAAAAGTGCTCGGCTCTGAGTGAATCACAGGAGCAGGACAGTTATTGGGTGTCTTGGTTTTAAATTAACAACTGACTTTATATTCATTTCCTACAGCAGCTCTGCTTAAAACCTCCACGTACCAGGATGAGGGTCCACACTAGGAATCGGCACAGGATGTGGATATTCATCTTTTTGTAGAAAATTATAATTTTCCCCGCCTGTGAAAGAAAGAGGCAGAAATAAGTACAGACCCCACAGCCTATTCACTCATCTCTTTAATGAGAAATACCACATAAACACCAACACCCGGTGTGTCCGCGTACTTGCCCTTGGGTAACCAAATAGGCCTGGGATGTGGCTGTCGAAGCCACGTCCCTGACATGGCGGTCACGTTTCTCCTATCCCATGGAGCCAGATGTGGGGTGTTAGTCATCCGCACCCTCTGATTAATTTGGTGATGATGAATATGTTTCAGCTGTGAACATTAGCATGGACCAACACAGAGGAAGCCAGCGGACACCTGGCGTGTCGTCTAAGACTCGCTGACTGAAGGGCTCAGAGCAAACCGCCCACGGGGAATTGAGCAATGTGGTCACTTTTTCATGTTACCTTCCCACAACCCAAATGGTTATAAGTGCCACTGTCACCATCTGAGACGCAGGTCTGAAGAACAAAAAGGGCCTTCCTACTTTCTAACAGCATTTTGTCATTAAAGTAGGGCAGCTGTGCATTTACAGTGAGACAGGAAAACATCTGTCACATAATCTTTACTGTAGTCACACTGTAGGTTTATATTAACATATTAACACTGAAGAGCATCACTGTCTGCACAATGAAGCCATTAAAACTTTCAGTCTAATCAAGTCAAACTGAGTATTTTAAAGTCACATCTTCAGAAGGTTCTGATCATTTCCTGTCTCTAAGATATTTTCAGCCTGCTTTTTGTTTTTGACAGGAAAGTTTTGTGTTCAGTTGAATTCAATTAAACTTTATTAAAATAGTGCCAAATCACAACAACAGTTGTCTAAAGTGCTTTATATTGTAAGGCAAAGACCATATAATAATACAGAAAAAACTCCAACCATCAGACAACCCCCTGTGAGCAAGCACTTGGTGACTGTGGGAAGGAAAAACTCCCGTTTGACAGGAAGAAATATCAGGCAGAACCACAATCAGGTAGATGGAGCCATAAACCACTAGTTGTGGGTTTATAAGACCTTTTTGAATAAGTGGGCTTATTATTATTATTGCAGTATTTTGTTGTGTACTTCTAATGTTTTATAAACCTGCAGAGACTCTAAAATGTACAGTTTCTATTCAGGATCAAGTCCAGTGGAGGCAAATAAAACTTTAAGGTTTTTTTGCAATGCATTTTGAAAACACAAAACATACATATATTTTTTAGGCTCGAAATCAATTCATGGCAACTATTTTCTCAGTTAACAGTACAGTGGTGCAGTGGTTAGCATTGTCATCTCACAGCAAAGAGATTCTGGGTTTGAAGCCGCAAGCCAGCCGGAGTCTTTCTGTGTGGACTGTACAGATTCTCCCAGCGACTGCATTGGCTCTCTCCAGGTAATCGAGCTTTCTCAAGCAGCCCAAAGACACACGTTAGGTTAACTAGAGATTCTAACTTGGTGTAAATATGAATGCCAGCAGTTCACTGTCTCTACATATTAGCCCTGTGATACTGGGTTACGGGTTACAACCTGAACAGGATGCCAGTCTACCAGCTGGGCTGGACTCCAGCAACCACATGACCATGAGTGTTGTCCACATTAAAGAGGACTGGGACATTTAGCTTGTTAATTTTGCAGAAATGAGCTTCCTCCAAAGGGTGGCTGGCCTCTCCCTTAGAGATAGGGTGAGAAGTTCGGCCATCCGGGAGGGGCTCAGAGTAGAGCCGCTGCTGCTCCACATTGAAAGGAGCCAGCTGAGGTGGTTCGGGCATCTGACAAGGATGCCCCCTGGGCGCCTCCTGGGTGAGGTGTTCCAGGCATGTCCCACCGGGACGAGGCCCCGGGGCAGACCCAGGACACGCTGGAGAGATTATATCTCTCGGCTGGCCTGGGAACGCCTTGGTGTTCCCCCGGATAAGCTGGAGGAGGTGGCTGGGGAGAGGGAGGTCTGGGCCTCTTTGCTTAGGCTGCTGCCCCCGCGACCCGGCCTCGGATAAAGCGGATGAAGATGGATGGATGGATGGATTTTGCAGAGTTTAAAAGCTGATTTAAACAATTTAACCAAAGCTATGTATGGCATAGGTAATTTTACCTAAATGAATAGTGAACAAATACAGATTTGGCATAAAAAACATATGAGTGGATCTGTCCTGCACTGTATCAACAGTTCAGGCTAGTGGTGGTGCTGTTATCAGGTGTCGGAAATATTTTTGGCACACTCAGTACCCACTGAGCATTCTTCTTCACAGCCAACCTGAGTATTGTTGCCAATCAGTCCATCGCTTTGTGACCACAGTGTACATATCACCTGGTGGATACACGCAGCATATTATAAAGCTCAAATCATCTCTTAGGTGGTCACTACAGTCATCAGGTCTCTATTCAATACAGAACCTTTGGGATGTGGTGGATTGGACAATTGTCAAGATCTGCCTATGCAGGTCACTAAAAATGCAGACACTTGGACTAAACTTGGCAGAAGCAAGCCATTTATTAAGGCTGCGCAAAAAAATACAAAGGCAGGACTAAGACTTTTTTTTGTGCCACTCATGCCACTCACTGCATCGTACAGGAGAAACTTAGATCTTACCTGCATCCCTAGAAATCCAATGACAATGGAGTTGATGGTACTCAGAACCCCCTCTGGGTCAAAGGGCTGTGTGGTGCGATACATTTCCTGGAAAAAGCAAAACAAAACCATGCAGTTTATAATTTCACCTACATTGGTTTATAGCAGAAGCATTGTATTGCAATATGTGATGAACATTCCTACTTTGCACGTGGGGTATCTGTACATGTTATCACCAAACATCCACCTATCGATGTATCCCGCTGCACCTCCCGTGCAGTTTGGGTAAAGCCCGTTATCGCCAATTCCACCGGCTCCTAAATACCCTCTGTTATCAAACAAGAACATAATTATTGCAGCTGTAGTTATTACAAAAAACAATGTTTAATGAAGTGTTTTGTGTTTATATGAAAACACAATACCCAGATGCAGCAGAGAACGCTCGGTGTTCTAATACCAAAGGTGATTTTAATATTCTTAAACCCTGTATAGCAGTTGTGTCTCAAGCCACCACACATTCACGTTCAAGGAAGAAAAAACCCCAAACTCAATCAGATGAAAAGACACAGAAGGACTGAGAGTAAAAAGTGCTACAGCTTGAACCCACAGTACTGTAAACGTGATGTCATGCAGGGTCACAGAGAAGGAAAAAACAAAACAAAAGACAAAAAGCAGAAGACACAGAGCGAGGAAGATGGATCCTCTGCCTCCGCTCCTCTTATTGCACATGACAGACTGAGATTGGCTAATTAGGCTCTCTGAAGCATCCACCACGGGCCCATAAATCACAACGGTTCATAACACCTGCAACACAAGGTGCACACTCACACTGTTGCAGCACAAACAGGCCCAACTGGAGATTATCTCAGCTTCGACACATAGGAAATTTATGCTTTTAGCTTAAGTGTACGATGCATTAGTGAGGAGATTTGACCTGAAATGCTATATGACAGTGGGAGTCATGTCCAGACTTACGTGGGGCAGTTGGGAACAGGCATGAGGAAAGTTAAGCACAGCCACAAAGTCTCCAGCAGGATGATGATCAGCCACTGCGGCCAGTAAAGGAGAATATCCTGGACCGGGTTCCACCCGTTATACTGCATCATACATAAAGCACATAATATTTTTGTTTTTAGGTCCAAAACTGTTTCGCATTTAGGTATTTTTTTAGCATTAAACTAAGTTTTGGGATAGATTGGTCCACTTGAATACACAACAAATTCATAATTACTAAACATTTTTAACTCTTCTTGGAGCTTTAGAGATGTCTGTCTGTTAATCTGGACGAATATCTGAGCTCCGCACGTAACGAATGGATGGAACTTGTTGAACTGTTCAACAAAGACTTCCACTGCACTGAACTCACAGGTCCATCGACTCTTTGACTTGTTATTCGTGTGCTTTTTCAGGTTAGACTCCTTTAATTTTTTCTCTTGTGTGTAATGACTGAAATAACTGAACTTGACAGAACTGCTCACCGCAGTCAGTGGGATTTCTTTCTGGCCCCAGAAAGTCTGCAGGAGAGACAGAACAAAGTAGGTGAAGCCCAGACGCTGCAGCACTCCTGGGATCCTCAGCCAGGACCAGGACACTAGAGCACAGTGAAGAACACACAGCATGAACGCTCACTGTGGCACCTTAATACTGACAGACAGTGATTTAAATAACATATGAACTTATAATTCACAAAAAGCACGCATATTAAGTCATTTCTGTAGACACAAGAAATCAAGAATTTTCCCAATTATCCCGACGCCACTATTACTACAACTACTTCTGATAGCAAGTTGATGTACAGCATAAAGGCTGGAGAGAGCTCATGTCAGCCTTCAGGATACGAACATGTCAAGAAAGAGGGTAGCTAATCAAACATTCATCAACAGTTATCTCTCGGTCTCACCAAATTGGGAAGGATAGGACTTGCTGCTGCTGGAGAGAGATTGATGGTAATCTACACATTAGCTAATTGAAAACCTCTTTGCCACGCAAAGTGCCGTAAAAACAATATGATCCCAATCATTGATCCGGACAAATCAAATAAGAGGCGGAAATCTTTTCTTTCGCAGGAAAAGGGGAAGCTCTTACTAATGACACTTTAGTTAAAGATATATGTTACACACCCCTGCAGAGATAATTGACTGTGTCTGTCGCCTGATAAAATTATCACGTCCTACAGGAATGTGCAAAAGTATTGAGCCATTGTTCATTCCTCTATACATATAAGGCAAAAATAGAGTTTGATGTGACAATTTTGACGAGATCGAAAGTCAATATATTTTTTCTACACAGCCTGAACTGTCTTAGGAAAGCTTTCTTCAGATAGTTTTCAGGAGTAGTTCTCCAGGTTTCTTGAAGGACAGTTAAAGCTTTTCTTTGGATGTTGGCTGCCTTTTGTTCTGTTCTCTGTAAAGATGATCCCACACCGCTTCAGTCACGTTGAGGTCTGGGCTCTATGGAGACCTATCCTTGACTAATTGTGTTTCACTGCGTTTTTCTATCCAGGTATCATTTTGCTGATTGTGCTGAGTTGTGTTTGTCATCATTTCCATGCTGAAAAAATGAAGCTGTTGTTAACCAGATATTTTCCAGATGATACTGCATTGTGGATCAAAATCTGATGGTACTTTCCTGCATTCGTAATGTTATCAATTTTGCTAAGATACCCAACAGCACTGGCTGAAATGCAGGCCCAAACCATGACTGAGCCTCCACCGTGTTTAACAGAAGGCTGCTAACAGTCACCGTCGCAGCGCTCTCCTCACACAAATGGGAAGAAATTATGTGTTTCTGTGACAAGTTACAGAACAAAGTAACAAAGATTAAAGATTCGGTTCTTTAATTGTTTGTTAAAGAGCGTAACAAACAAGCATCCCTGGAAATGGTTAGGCACAAGGACTAGACTGAAAATGAGTGAAAAAGCAGTCAATTGTATTGATGACAATACACTATCAGCCTTTAGTGGCTCAGTGGTAACATTAACATGACAGTCTGGCACCCTGGAAGAAAATATAAAGAAATCTAGGATGGTTCAAATCTTTTGCACAGTATTAGAATAAATAATTAAGAATCAAATAGGAGAAAAGAGCAAAATGGGAAAATTTCATGTTTAATAAGAATTATCATTTTAAGTTGAATCCATTTACACAAGAGTTTGAAAGTAAGCTGCAGCAGACTGTAACACAGTTTTTCTCCCACATTTATGCATTTTCTTTGTGTTTGTGTGTAACGGACACCTTTTTTGACGTTCAATACTATTTAACTGAAGCTGTCTGCTTCCAATCTATGAGCACTTTCAGTGATAGATAGACAATATTATAATATGTTGGTAGTCAGCAAAACTGAAAAAGCCACTAAAAAAGTAGGGCAGCCAGAACTTTTCAAAACGACTGGTTTTTTGTGTTCGAACGTCCTCTTAAGGCAACTCGGTGGCAGGGGTTTGAATGAATCAACTCTCACGCCTCACGCATCTCATCCAAATCATATTTTGTATAGTAAGTTTGTATTTATTTCGAGAATAAAGTAACTACATTTCAAGGTTTTTAATATGAATCTGCTTTGACCACTTTTTGGGACATCTAACCACGGTAGGGTTTTTGAAATTACTCCTATTTGATGTCAAAGGTTAATACCTCCTTTTCTCTCTTCTGACATTGAAAAGCATTTAACATATTGAGTTAATGTGACTCCATTCTCTTATTAGATCAAGCTCTGCGACTGAGCTGCAGAGGACGTCCTTGGAGACAGAGGGCAAAGCTGCAGTTTATGGTAAAAGTCAGTGTGCTGTTGTGACCAGCTCCAGCAGCAGAGTCTACAGCAGCTGCGTGGAGCTGACGGCTGTAACACTATCTGTTTGTAATTGTCCATTACCACAGCGGTTGTTTTTGCTCTATCTGCCTCTGTTAAACGTCCCCTGGTGCTGGATTTTGAGACTGCACACACAACAACAATATTTTTGTTAACCCAGTTAAGCAGACATCCACCCAGGAAAGTCCATTAGCACCACAGAGAGCTAATGTGTGAAGGGCGCCCTTTGCATCCCAGGTGGATGGGGGATTTTCAGCATTATTCCTCTCCTTTAACCCTGACCCAGCCATGAAGTTTGGCTTTTATCTCAAATCAGGAGATCAACCCACTTAACATCTCTGTCGCAGACCAACAAACAAAGAAATTTACTTGACTGTAAAAAAAAAAAGTAGCTATCACATTTGAAAAGCTAAACTCATCATTTCAGTTTCACCTAAAAAAATGAATTCAGCAGCTACTGGTTGCAGTGACGAATGAAATATCTAGTTACGACATCTGTGTCAAAAGTATTTGATGTTGCTTAATTTACAGGAAATGCACTTTGCCTTCAAGCTTGCACATGAGCGGGTGTATTACCACACAGAAATCCTTGTCCCCACCTGTGCTAATAAACTTGCTTTGCTGTATGCGAACATATTACTACATGAGCTGGAGTCTGCGTAGTGTAACTGACCTGAAAAAGTACATATCGATCGATAGATCGATAGATACACACATATGAGGATTTAGTTTGACTGAGAATCAGAATACACAATGTGCACCTACGTGGTCCGTCTTTGGGAGAGTAGTTGAGAAAGCAGAAGCCGAGCAGCAAGAGGACGACTGTTCTCCAGGTGATTTTTCGTAGCAGCTGCAGGCGGCTAACTCCTCTCCTCTGCATGGAACTGAAAGCCAAAACCACTGAGGTCCCAATTACAAACACAAACCTGGAAGACATAACAGGATTATGCCATTCAAACCCACATATGAACTGTACAAACAAGAAAAGTAGTAAAAGACGTTAAATAGGTCAGGCCCCTTGTGCCAAACCTACCATGGCATGACAAGATCCGCCACAGTTAGACCTGCAACAATTTCAGAAGCATAAAATCAATTAATACCAACAGACCAACACACACTTGATCTCATCAGAGAGTTTACAGTTCTTGCCCTTCCATACACACAAAGACAACAAGATGAATTAAAAACAATGCTCCGTCCTTAAAGCGCTGCTTCTGTCATTAACTTTCCATTTTGAAGAGGCGTGATTAATAAATATTTACACTCCTGTGACAGCAGCAGTCCTGCAGCCAGGCGAAGATTAATCAATCCAGCTCTGAAATCAATGCACCTCTGTACATGTGGCAAAAAAGCTATTACAAAGTTAAAATTGTGAACACCCATAAACAATTACAGGAATTTTCGAGAAAAAATTGAAACTGAAATTAAAACAAAAAAAAGAAAGTTTATAAGAATATTTACTTTTTCTTGTTTTAAATACTTTTTCAACCAAAATCTCTACTTCAACCAAGATGCCTTGCTTAAGAGTACCTCAATACTGGCTATCATAACATTGGAGTGTTACTCATTCCTTCCTCCTCCCTCATCTTCTTCCAGCTGTCATTTAAATCCTCCTCCTCTCCTCCCTGATCATTAACAAGAATAAACATCTATGGATCATGGTGTTGATTTTGCTTGTATGAGAAATGACACCCTGTGTTTTTCTTAACTACATTCATCATAATTAGTGACAACGCGTCAGAAAACTCTGCTAACACTATGGGGAGGATTTCGCCGCTGAAGATCAGGCGATTGCTGCATCATCGTTGTGTGCAGGGAGTAAGGTGCGGGCTGTAGGGTACAAGCAACTGATTTAGTTTTCCCTTATGTCAATTCACGTGCATCATGTACTTAACCGTTCCAAGGTGCGTGCTGAAAGAACCAGTAGCCTCCACCACCATAGTTCACAAACACCATCACAGTCAGGGAAAACCTATAAAGACAATACAAGTCGATATCCAGGAAAGAACAAATGAAGAAAATGTGTGAGTGAGGCTGAAAAACTGTCAATAAAAATATATTATTCAAGTGCAATCCTTGATTATAATTAAAAATTAACTTCTGAATTAAAGTTAAAGAGAACACAAGAGGGGCTTTTATTCAGTCTCCCTCCAAATGCAAGGTAATGCAATCTAAGCATTATGAATCACTCAGGAAATGAACGCTTGTCCTCTGGATCTCCTCAAGCAGGAGTGCTGACTAAAGACTTTGCATCTAATATATGATACACTTTATACTTTAGCACTGGCCGAGTCTGCTGAAACACAGCGCACGTGATGGAGTGCTTCACTGAATCATACACTGGAGGGAAAAAGGTGTTAGCGTTGCATGTCAGAAAATGGGCGGTGGGCCACTACACAACACAAACTTGCACGGTAATGCAATGATCTGGGCCAGGCTGAATCTTTTCACCATCTGTAATACGTGAATTTATGTTTTCGTGCGTAATCAAAAAGAGTAATAAAATCATAAAGGGGGGGGGGGGGGGGGGGGGGGTCGTAACAACATTACGACAACCTTTAAGAAACAGCCTGCCTGATAAGGTGCACTGTATCTACCTCTGCCTCCTCTTGTTTTTCTGCCTAGATTCAATTAAGAGCTGCACTGAAGCCATTACTGCTCTTTTAGCCCCAACCTGCTGATACAAGATTTTAATCGGTCACTATCATCTCAAAAGGGCTATTAAAGCAGAGTAAACCCTGCTGCATGTGTCCATGTTCTCTTCCTCTCTCTCTCTCTCACACACACACACACACACACACGCACATGCACACACACACACGCACACAAGCTATCGTGTAAATTTTGATGAACGCATCCATTAGTTGTCATGGCAACAAAGACAAAGGTTAAATCGCCAGCCAGATGAGACCCTGTGAAAATTGCAGTAATATCCCAGATTATTGGCCATACTTATAATTAAAATTCCCCGCTGTCCGATTGGAAATGAGACCCCCATCACTTTACATATGCCACACATCTGTGACAATACAGGCTGCTAATTATGATGAGTGCTCAATTAACATAATGTACACTAAGGAACTCTTTGTTTTCTGTTGGATCAAAGTTAATAAGGTGCAGGTTGACACAGCAGGCATTTTCTTTTTTTTTTGGTTCCTAATCAAGTTTAGGTTGTTAATATGCCTTTGAAGCTCTGCAGTGAACATTTGCCACTTTAGTAATAGACTTAATTCCTTTCTGGGAATGAGCAGGAATGATTTATAGCTAACAGATTACAGAGAGACCTGTCTGTTGCAGCACTGACAGCCAGTTATGACTCACTGATAGACACTTATGGACGTCTTTGATTTGAATCATTGTACATGCATTACCAATTAGAGTATCAGCTTAGTACTTTCCCCCCATTGCTAATGGATAGCTGCAGTCTATCCCTGCACAGTGTTGAGTTACCCACTGTACTGGCCATATCAAGTACACGGACACCCAATCTAGTCATAATAAATTACAACTACAGTTGAAAAGCCAAGGTTCTATTTTTTTGTGGCCAAACATCAGAGCGTATCTGAAACCCAATATGTAGGAAAACTTGGATCTCAGTCAAAATAAGGCACAGAATGAGTCAGCCACCTGCTGTTAAATGCGGCTCACAGTTCTTGGTTTTGCTGTAATAGTTGTTCCGTCAGTTGTATGCTGCTGCTAACTACTGACAGTGCGATTTTCAACGGTGACGAAACTGGTGAAAGGCTTTTAGCAATGTGGCACAAGATTAAAATCCAAATCCTTTTAGAAAAATTAACGTGCGACCATACGCCACAGTTCTCTGTATATCATGTCAGGAGAGCCCGAGCAATGATCAGAAAAACCTTTCAGCTGGGAAGAAAAGCTGTTTGGCTTCAGAAATGTCTCAGCATTTATGGCAGATGACTGATGTGTCTGTTCTCTGTAGAAAGCTGTTACTTATCCGGGGGTAGGGATCATAAGTCATGGGTCTGAGGAGGCGCACACAGCGTTAATCTTTAGAGCTGAGTCACAGTTTGATTAAGTGTGACGCCAGGTAGGAGCGTTTCCGGTATTACCATTCAGGACGTACGCACCTGTAACCCCGGAGTGACATTTCAGCTAACGAGATTGAGGAGGACTGAGGCAGGAAGTGGAAATGAAGGGAAATAAAACTGAAATGTATCCTCCCCCTGAACTCATACAGATTCTGAAAATGCACTCAAGCGCTTGAGCTCCCAAACTAAATAACAGCATGTTGTATTTTCAGCCCGCCACATATGCTCGGTGATTTTCAGCTGGCTCCTCGTCCAAAAGGAAGCCACAGATGGAGAAGATGCCAATTGTCTGCTGGATGCTGCCTGTGTGCTGCTGGATTTCCTCTCGCTCTTCAGTTTGGCAGGAGATCTATTGCTGGGTGGATGTGTGCTGATATGTTGACTGTATTATTACATCAATTATTTGGCGAGGGGGAGGTCAAAGCCACACCAGCATCCTGTTTCCAGAGAGGCGTGCTTTGTGTCTAGCCCTAGGCCACAATTAAGGCGAGCAGGGAGCCCAGATTCAATCACATGCATCACTCCTGTCCAACAGAAACACACTGTTCCAAACCCAACACACACTGCTATCAGAAACCATGCCCAAAGCTATACCGCCTGATAACAAAAGCTTGAAGGAGCATGTGGCCAGACTGTGACCCCTGTAATTATTCATTATGTCAGGCCTGTAGATCTTTATGATGCCTCAAACTTCTCTAAAAAGAATTAACATGTGAATGAGCTCCATGTGGTGATAGAGCGATAAACACGAATGACTGTTGAAGGTGAACATACCCTCGGAAAGTATCCAGGGAGAGCAGACGTGTTGGTTTAGCTTTAACAGCACCGTGTGCAGTTTCACTAGCATGTGATTCTTCCTGGAGAAAAAACAGCAGGGAGACAAAATAATGTCAACACTCACTGGGATAAAACACCAGTGTGGGTTACTTAAGGGGATTTGACAATTACCAGTGCTTTAAGCTCCATTCATTGTTGCACTTTTAGGGTTAAGGTCGCTTAAGCAGATATTTAAACCCCAAATCAAACTTACATATTTTTCATATCTAGATAGTTTTCTAATCAGCAAAAAAAAAATCAATAAAGGAAGAAGAAGAAACACTTTTGACATCTAACAAATCATAAAGTTTGATAACACAAATGTTCCAAAAACATGAAGCACAACACTCTGAGTTATTCTTAAGCAGCTTAATGCTCTGCTTTATTAACTAGGTGCTGCTGTCTGTCTTTGCTTGCTGGCCAGTTAATGTAAAGTGGGCTCATTTCTTTAGATTTTACTTGGGAAATGGGAAAACGGGGGCAGAGTTTTGTTGACCTGTGATAAAATACATGGAAATACAATACATGAGGGATAAACTGCACTATTCCTAACAAGCTTTAAAGTCAGTATTTGGTACGGTCACCATCATGCTGAAAATTCATTTTCTACATTGATACTTGCATCAGTTTTTACAAGATCCTCAACATCACCGACTGAAATGCAACCTCAAAACATGACACAACCTCCACCTTGTTTTACAGATGGTTATAGATAATCATCTCTGCTGAACTCCTCCAAATATATAAAAAATAAATAAAAACCATGGATTCATCTTTCCATAAGACTTGATGTCCTACCGCAGTATTTTCTCCTTGTTTCACTTTCTTAAGAATTTTCTTAAGAACATGACAGTTTATGTATGTAGCCTTTCAGGCCTGTGACTTCTTCTTTTTTCCAGTTTCTTTACATTTTTAGGGACATCCTGCAGACCGTGCCAAGATGTGCCATGTTTCCAGCTAAAAGCTGTTTGGGAATTTACCTCGTCAGTGTAAAAATTCTATTTTATGTCATGTGTTTTTGTGACAGGTTGAAAAAACCTGGATAACTTTTGCTCAAGAGCACTTTTAAAACATTGCAAAAACGTCTGGCTCCTTGGAAGCAAAATATAAAGAACTAAGTGGAGACTTTTGCACACTGTACATAAAATGGCAACACATTTGGCTTTTTATTTGTAGGTAGCAACAGGTAGCAAACTTGTTTAAAAATACTGATAAAGTCAAAGGTTCACTGCTTCCTCATTCACAACTCCTCAAAGTTCTCTCCGCCCCGCGTCTTCCCCCCCCCTCTCACTGTGTGAAAGGCAACATTTCGATGACTCTGGCCTGTTGCCCTCTCAGTTGGATTAGCCTGGCGTGCTGGCCTCCATGCAGCATTTTAAAGAGCCAGAGCAGGAAGACACCCGCGCTAATATGTCGTGATGGATTTGCGTGCCATCCAGACAACATATGGAAGCCAGAGACATTTTGCTTGAAAGAATGAGAGGAGCTATTCATGTTCACTGAAAATACATGGCAGCTCTTGCCATGAAGCCCGATGATTGGACGGATACAACACTGTATCGTTTTCTATGTAAGTCTGCTGTGTAACTGGCTCTGCTAACATTTATATCAATCACTCCATTAGTGTCTCCCAAACGGCTTGATGACTGGAGCCTCAGAGCAATTTTAGAATGCATCTCGGGCTGCATAGCCGGCCAATGATAATGGTGCAGTTTAACTGCTGGATCAAACAATATTTGATTACCAGAAAAAGGTTTCTACATGAAAGAGATTGTGTAGTTACTTTATATTTTGTATTTCAAGAACAGTAGCAAAGATTTACTGTATATTTAAAAAATAATTTGCTTTTTAATTTAAACTCATAATGGACATACTTTGAGCTGTTTATGACTTATTTAATCAAAATATAATCTCATCTGACATAAAAAAAAATCTAATGTAATATATTTATTAGAAGCAGCATTTAACTTACATTCTCTTCTGAATGCTGTGGGCCTTGGCAGCAAATAGTCTTTATAAATTTTGATGTACAACGCCTCCTGGAAAAAGAAAAACTTTAGGCTGCCCGGTTCTGATGGAAAAGCAATCAGTGCAGGATTCTTGCAGATGATGTAAAAAACACACATGTACCTGCAGATGTAGGGTATCACAACGAATAACAGAGCGATTACAGCCAGCAGGAGTGCTGCCACCAAAATAGCTGGAAAAATAAGTAAAAGGAAATCATTCTGTACCATTCTCTGTCCATGTCAGAAACTTTATACACTACATCTCTATCAGACCAGGATCTGAGTGGGGATAAAGGGGATGACTGCCAGTCCAAACTGTCTGCTATACTAGCCTGTGGGCTCCCCTGTGGCTGTCTTTCAGTCAACCAATGTCAAAGGGGATCCCTCAAGTGACAAACAAGAACCTAATGAAAAAGTCTTGGTTGAGCCGCCGAGGAGTAATCACTGCGGGTAATCTAACCCTGCAGGCATGTGAAAATGAAAATGTAAGGCTGTGCTGGAACAAGGATGAGAAAACAATGACTTTGCCAGACTGCCGGAGGGCAGCACAGATAGGAGCAGGGTCAACTTGAGGTTTACAGTGCAAGAGGGCACAAACACTGTAGCGAAGATGGATTTTGTTTGCCCCCCCCCCCAAAAAAGGAATAGAGCTCTGAAAGCCACCGATTTGCAAACAAAGGGAGATATTTTACACCTGTAGTACTGATTATAAAACTACCTAGGCTTTATGAAATCTCCACATGGTCTTCTTTCGTCAAAGCACAGGAGAGCAGAGTACACGCAGTGGAAGAACAAACAAAAAGATGCCATTTTAAGCCGAGCTGAATCCACACAAGGACATCCACTCTGAACAAAGAGCGGTCACTTAATCTCCTCGGAAAAGTCATGGCATCTCTGGTGTCCATTCATAAAAACACCACAAAGCTCTCAGCGCATGAACCACATTAGAGCTCAGCCACAGACATGCTCGCTCCATCAGTAACCGTTGGTATAAATAGAAAATGAATGGTAGACACTGAAACAACTGAATTAATTTGAGTTCATTGATGTATAAAAGTCGTACAAAGACTTAATAGGAGTCGATCCTGTAGATTTCCTTGTAAGAATTAAGGGCTCTGCAGGTGACTTGTGGTCTGTGGTGTGATACAGAATACACTACTAACACGATTAAAGGGTGCATCTGATAGCAGCTTCACAGAAACATATGCTTAAAGTAATGATCTCATGCTGCTCTGTGGCCAATCAATCTCAGACACTGAAGTAAACTTTTAAAATTCCCTAGCAGAGCACCTCATACCTTTCTTGAGCTGCTGACCAGACCGTTACTTAAGGTGAACAATTCCTATGGGGAGTTTGTATAATCACCGGTCTGTGGAGCTAATGGAAGATCATCATACTGTGAGAGGTGCAGTCACACTGACCATAACAGATAATGGCTACTTGGCCTTAAAAGTCTGATCTACAACATAATCTGCAATATTGTTAAGTAGTGTGTGCATTATGGAGAGAGGCGCTTTCAAAATCCCATTACGCCCTAATCCTTCCACACTCCCTAATGTATTACCCACAATGCTCTACGAGCCAGAAGCAGGCCTTCAAAACAAGCAGAAAAGCTTTTCTTTTATCCCTTTTCAAGAAAGCGAGTCTGATCTGATCAATACACATCATGTCCCAAGAGATGGATGAGAACTGCTGCTCAGTGGATGTGGACAAAAGCAGTGATTCTCCTCTTTGCTGACTCAATTAATGGGATCAAAGGCTTGGCTGGAGTTTGCAGACAGGTACCTTTGCTGTCACTGCGCCCTCACAGCTGAATCCCAGCAGTGTCGGTCAGGGATTCAAAACATGGAAATTTGTCCTCATGTATTTTTCAGTAGTGCTGTGTACTTACGCAGATAGGCATTATTTGGTCTTCTATCCACAATGTGAGTGCAGCTGCGATTATTTGCATCTAGGGTGTAAATCCAAATAGAGTAGTGACCACCTTCCTCATACGTTTGACTCCATCTGCATGGAAAAACAGTGAAATAGTCACAAAGTCTTAAAAGCTCCTATTTGATGCCCGGTTAAACTGTTTTCTTTAAAAGCACATTGCTGCTCTCCTGCTGCAGTAGCACAACTATAAAGCTCAGGAGCACCACCTAGTGTCTGAAGGCTTAAAGTGCATGCCCCTGTCTTCTCACCGTCTCCAGTTTCAGGCCCCAAAAAAAACATCCCTGTGCAAGACTCGCTCATATTGATCCACTGTTGGGATGACATACTAGCTATCACTTGGAGTGTTTTTTTCAAACTGGGAAAAGTAAATCAATAGCAACACAGGCTGGTTAGAGACCTCAGCATTGATTTAAGAAGACCCAGCCCTTTGAAAGGACATAAAAAGCACAAAGGCTTTTCATGGTGCACCATCGCTTAGAGGTGGCCCCAAAATAGAAAGCTTTGCCCTCCTGTGTGGGATGTTCTGGGTGTTTATACATATTAGATCTGTCCTAACTGTTTAACATCCCAGCTGATTCTTCCCCAGGACATGTGGCTTTCAAGCTTTAATGAGCCCTTTTCATCAATATTGGAATGTCAGGTCTTATTAACCCCAAAACAGCCTGTGATCAATACACTGTGAGGTGGTTTAAGGGAGGGCATAACTCAGGTCCAGAAAATGGGTCAGGGTTACTCCTCCAACCCTGTAAATAATTTCACAGGCTGCTGATGCAATCATGTCACCACACTATATTATATCTTAAAACAAGAGCAATGCACTTTCACAGGCAAACAAGCAAACGAGAGACAACTTGCATCTAATTTGTTTTAAATACCATCTTGAACAAATGTTTAACTTGTTACCTGCAAAAGGTTGCATTCCTGGTTTGTGATTCCACTTGTACTGTCAGAGTAAATTTGGTGCTGATTATTGCAGAAGCATTATTGTTGTTGGGTTTCACTGTGACCAAATGTTGGTACAAACACTGAAAAGCAAAACAAATAAATAATGATTAAATGGGCCTAGCATTAACTTAATAAAAATGAATAATTGTTTGTAAGTAAAAGACTAATTTGATTTAATGATTTAAAGGAATGTGCAAAAAGGGAAAAAATAGTACAATTCAGACAAGCTAGAAAGTCAATATTTAATCTTCCTTTAATCTTCAACACAGTCTGAACTTCTAGCTTCCTTGTAATTTCTTTAAGTAGTCTGTTGGAAGAGTTCTTGAGGCTTCCTGAAGGAAATTGAAAGCTCTTCTTTGGATGTTGGCTGCCTTTTGGTCTTTTCTCTGTCAAGATGATCCCACACTGCTTCAATAACGTTGAGGTCCGAGCTCTGAGGAGGCCAATCCACGACTGCTAGTTTTGCACCGTGTGGTTTTTCTATCCAGGTACGCTTTTACAGCGCTGACACTGTGTTGGGGATCATTGTCGTGCTGGAAAATGAAACTGTTGCCCATGCGATGCTTTCCACATGGTGCTGCATTACGGATCAAAATTTGATGATTCTTTTTTGTGGTCATAATTCCATAAATTTTGACAAGACAACACTATCGACTGAAACGCAGGCTCAACTAGGATTTGGACAAAATTTGGATTCATCACTCAGTAAGACCTGTTTTTGTGTAATTTGGCATTCCTCAGCCTTTCCTCTGTTTCTTTTCTTGGATAATTTTTTCTAGACAGCCAGCCTTCCATTAAAACAATTTCTCATAAAACTCCTTCTTCTTCCTTTTCTGTCCCCCACTTGTCCAGTTTCCTTACACTTTTTAAGAACATGGAGCAATATGCCACGTTTCCAGCTAATAGCTCTGGGAATCACCTTGTTGATTTTTATGAGAGGATGCTATTAACAAAGTGCCTAAAGATTAAATTGAAAATTGATTCTTTGTCTGTCTTTGCCTGTGTAGACACAACACTGGTCCATCCCTTGAGTTAAGTGCCTTTTATATGCATGCATGATTCATAGGTCAGTGTTAAGTGGTTTAACAAACAAAACACATTCCTCTGGAATTGGTCAGGACTGAAAAAGAGTGAAAAAGCAGCCAATGTCCAAAGAAAACTTCAGAAGGCCTGGAGAAATATTGCTCAAGAACACTTTAAAACATTGCAAGAAAAGTCTGGCTTCCTGGAAGCAAAATATAAAGAAATGACAGGTGGCTCAAAAACAGTTGCACAGTAAAATATAATTAAAGGTTGGATGGTAATATAATGTGCAGAGCAGTGAATTTACAAGCCAAGACGGCCTACGTATAAACAATAGGTCTCCTCATTGACAAACTAAGTTGGGAAACACCCAGTGATAATTCCTTTCCAAGACTGTATGGAGTGAGTAATAGTGTTACGGTTTTACAGGGCAATCATAGAAAGCTTATTCAATATGAAATTACAGCATGGTTTAGTAATCTAACAATGCACTAAAAAAGCATGGCTGCAAATGAATTTTCAGAAATGAAAAAATACAAGTCCATACAGAGCCTGCCTAAGCAGGTACTTTACTTGTAACATCCTCTCGTCTCAGGATTCAAACATTTGACATGAGGAAGCATACTCAAGGTTCAAAGTTCAAAAGGTATCATATGTTCCAGCCTCCATTATGCTGCTGAACAGCAGTGTTAAATTATTCAAGGAACAGCACATACTTGGACTTTAAGCACTAAATTTTTCTTACTTTATGCTTGTCTTGTTTTTTCATACAGGTTTATCTGGTTTTACGTATATTCATATGTCTCGTGATGTTTTTATGATGTTCCCTTTACGTTTCCTGATGTCTTTAATAATTCATGGTTGCTTTTTCCAGCAGTAACTGTAGCGCTGTACCCACAGCACATTCCTCTCAGAGACAATCAAGCTCATTTTATAACAAAGGAGAGAAAATCACACATTTCCCTTATGTGAAATTTGACAACAACTTCACAGTGAATTACAATGTTTAACTTTACTGCATCTGTATGTTTGCTAAGATCAGTTTGCGTGACTATAAACTTTTTGAGGAACTGAAAGCGATTTTCCTGCTGATGCTGTGTCTTAATAAAACCACAGTGACGGTGGATATTCTTTACCTTGTAGCAGTAATCTGATGTGTAGGAAGCATGCACTTCTTCAGTCAGCTGGTTATGAAATATGAGCAAAGCCTGATCCATTTTCAGATGAGAGCCTGCATAGATTTAACACAGGCCTGATTTATTAGCTGAGAGTTCTCTTGGACATTATAAAGACAAGATGACAGAACATGGCATCTAATCACTATCACCACTGTGAGCGTGACACTGACTAAATTCCCATACTGACATGTCCATTTGTTGTAATTCAATTCAAACCAGAATTAAGGAGACCGAACAGTGACTTTCACAAGAAGATCAAAAGAGTATAGACAGTACAGTTTTTGCTGCTACTACCAGGACATTTGTGCACAGATGCCTTCACCAGAGCGATCCCCACCCTCCTCACCATTTTCGATGTGTCCTCCGATGCCGCTGGTAAAGAGGATTAACAAAGTTAGACTTGCATGTAGCAGCGTCCTGGACTCCATGTTTCTAGCCGTAACCAGCCTTGTCTACTGCTCATCTTTATAACTCTCACAATATAACCTGTGGTCAAAGGGCAGTATGCATACGTAATTGTTGGTTCCCTTTTCATGTGCTGTTTTGTGCTTACATTTAAGATCACATGTAATCATTGTCATGATTTGACATGAGGGATGCTAAGTAAAATCAGACTAATAATCAGTGAGTTTAAAACGGTCACAGGTATGTATCTGTGGCTCTGTATTAATGCCACAGTCAGCAGACACTCTCCGTTTCACCCCAGTCTAATGGTTTTGTTCTAAATCACAGCTAACTAAATGGCTTTAGCAGCGCTCTCATTTCCAGGTCCAGTCAGCTGTTAAATGCTGATCTCCTGTCACATCCTCTCCCTGTTTTCATTCCATTAACCACTTCATTTCTCTGAGCGCTCACAGTGACAGATGAGTTCACCGGGGCAATCTAACAAGAGCGGGTTGTTAACCTTTGACATGAACTCTGGTAAGCTGAAGAGCCAACCTCCTTTTTAAATCTGATGTCAACTGGAGAAAAGACATTAATATCAGCAGGTAATTATTCTTAGGATTAAGTTCATGTTTGATATGTGTGCATAAAAGGTACAGTGTCTTCTCTCTTCACACAGCAAACACTGCTGCACTGGCCTTTGTGCTGAATCGTGCTACAATAGCTGGCCTAATGCATGCCTTGTGCAACAGATGATAGTTTATGATTAAACCCATGCTGATAGGTGGTTGAATAGCTTAGCAGCAGTGAGGATTTTTGCTCAGGCTCCTGCAAGGGCAGCTAGGCGGGGACCATGAATGGATTTATTCCAGTTGCTCTCACTGGCTCCCACAGCAGATTTGCATCTGTGCAACAGGCTGCTGGAGCTGAATCTCCCCTGTGCATGAAAAGCCTCTGCAGACATGGTGAGTACACAACCTTTCTACACTGTCTCCCACATGGAGCTGTTGACATTTCCTCGCTGTCACAGGTAGCACTCTGCTCTACATTATAAGATTTCATTGCAGACTGACATTTCAGGTTTTCAAGCTAGATAAATACAATAAAGTGTCATGCATGCTAACATGAGTTTGGAGGAGGAGAGATGTTCACAGCAAGCCACGGTGAGGTTTGTTTGAAGTTTGAGGTTTTAACCAGCGGTAATCGTTTCTGTAGTGCCCATTCATGCCACAGATCGAGCAGATTAGACCGTTGCTATGATACCTGTTGATGTCACTGCTCGGTCTGAGGCTCTGGTCCTGACATCTGTCTGCTCTGCTGGTACATAATTGTGACTGCTCAGCTAGGGACAGAGCGTTCATGTGTAGATTGTGCAATAAAATGCTATCTATTTGGACGATGTTATGCAATGTTGACTCTGCAGGGCTGAATGAAATAAATTTCACTTTGAACCTGTGTTGTGACCCTGCATCATGTGTTAGAGGAAAAGACCAACCACCACCACCCCCTCTCCACCACCACATGCCTTTGAACCAGCTAGATTTTTAAACTAGGAATGTGGCCTCTCATTGTTTCCAGATGGTTTCCTCTACAACCAATCAGAGTTTGTTTTTGTGAAACTGCCCCTCTCAAATCTGCTGCACTGTTCCCTCTGCTCTGTCCTCACAGGCTGGTAAGGTCCAAGCTCTGACTGAAGAGGAGAGGGCCCACATACTCCCCTTGCTACGCAACGCTCAGTGGGTGGAGGTCGTTGGACGAGATGCTATTTACAAAGAGTTTATTTTCAAAGACTTCAATCAGGTTCTTGCATCATTGTCAAATATCACTTTTAAACTTAAATGACCCATATAACCGCTCTACCTTTTTATTTTAATTTTTGTATTTCTCCCCCTCCAGGCTTTTGGCTTCATGTCCAGAGTGGCTTTACATGCAGAGAAGTTGGACCACCATCCTGAGTGGTTCAATGTCTATAATAAGGTACGCAAGCCTAATAATATATGAAAATAAGATTACAGCCTATGGGGTGGGGGTTGTTTTCCTGGCACTGTGGACAGCTGGCTTTTGTTACTATAGAAAAGCCCAACATTGGGATCATGAATTAGCTTCAAAATGACCTCTCTTAAATGTCATTTTTGCCTTAAAACAATAAAGAACATGTGTTTTTTGTTTTTGAATTTAAAAAGTATTTATTTTTTTAACCCAGGGTTAGGGGAAGATGGGATAAGTAATTTTCACCCAAAGCTCTAAAACACCAGATACCTAGTCGACACCAAATGTCAGGTAAACGACTAGCTAGCTGTGAACCGTTTAAAGATGGCAGCTGCAGGTCTCTTCGTCGGGAATTTAACCCATGACTGTGTCTGAAAATTGTGCTAACAGACTTTTCTCAGCGTCAAATGTGTAACCGGTTAATTACATCCATGTTACACGGCAGCCAATTTAGCATGAAATTGTAATTTAACACAGGTGTTACTAAACGCGTGTCTTGTGTAGGCACGAGCCCTAATTAATGTGATTAATACCACGTGAGTTTCTCATTTCCAAGTCAAAATGGCTTTTGCTAAACTTGCAGTGTTTCCTGTTGGGCACTCAGGGTGTCGTCTGGTTTTGTCAAAACCTTAAAGGACACTTTCCCAGGGTCTTACCTTGTGCTCATGCTTCACCTGTAATGACTCCATAACAAATGGCGGCAAAGCTCTTTGTCGAGTGGTATTTTGAAGAAAACTCATTCAAATTTGCATTGATTCACCACTTTGTGCATTCTCCTTAACGCAGGTCCAGATAACTCTCAGCACGCATGACTGTGGAGGGCTGTCCCAACGTGACATCTCTTTGGCCACCTTGATTGACCAGGCATCTCTAATGTGAGCAGAATGTCACCGGTCAAGGCAGAGAAAACTAAAGTGCTCTTCACATGGGTTTTTATTTAAAGGGGGGTGGTAATTATAAGCTTAAGGAAATGGTATAAATTCCAATGGTACATTCATCTTTCTGTCCCAACTATAGGCCCATTCCTGCCAGAGCGCAATGGAGCGATGCTCCGCCAAGTTCTCAACAAGCGAAGAAATAAAATACTGTAATTGAACTAATCTGGCTTAAATTTAAACGTCATTAAAGAATATCTAATGATCCAATAAACCAAACTGTATGGTCAAAGCTATAAAACTGATATTTGCAGCTTATTGCGTATCTGTTTGGAGTTCCCAGTCAAACTTTTTTGGGGGGCAGCATCGTATTTAAATAAATCGTACATACACGATTTACTAAGTGTATGTGTATACAATTAACTTCAAACTGTGCTGAAATTAATACCGGGAACACGTCTGACAGTAACTGTGTTACATTTGTTTTGCTCCAAATGATGAGGGTGCTAAAGCTTTGGCTGTCACACAACCATAAGGATGGTTAATACAGGCAGCAAGTTCATTTCTTGACAGTGATCTGAAGGGTTCGCGATGTTTCAAGGTGTTGGTCAGGTTTCCAATCAGACTGGTCCATCATCACATGACGTGCAGAGAGGAAAACAGTAATGTGCGCATGCAGCACAGTAACTTCATTAACTGGGAGTATGGTCAGGTCCTGACCGTAAATGAGTTTGTGTTCGTCTACACTGTATTGTACCGCAGTCAAGTGAGCCCTCACATACGACGTCACAGTCAAGATAGCCGCACCTAAAATGTTGTTGCACTATTCTTACGCATATTACGGTACGGGTGCCGAATGGCTTAGAAACGCGAGTTTTCTGTATACTGGCGTTTCACGATTTTACTGCTCAATCCACTTCGACTTTTGAAATATTAGCAGTTGATATATAACAAATTACTTTATGATTCTCACACTGCACATTAAAAATAACAAAAAATGTTATATATTCTGTAAGAGTTGATAACATATACAAAGCATTGTCTTCTCACTATACTGTACATTTCTGTTCACATGACCTTATGCCCAACTAAATAAAAATTGCTGTACTGTATTTTTGATATTGTGGGGGGTTTTGTGTTGTTGTTTGCTTTGGGTTTTTTTGTTACAAGAAAATTGTTTGAGGTGCCGCTAATATTTCACTGGATTCTTCCTCTGAGTTACCTCCACTCTTCCTCCTCTGCCTCACAGCCCAAATAATTTTACAGTTTCAGAGAAAATTAACAGTAAACTCTACTCAAATTACATTACAATATTCTCATCTTTGAACTGATAATACAGGGAAGCTGTAAGAGGTGACGCCAATATTTCACTTGATTCTTACTCTAGGTCATCCTCACTCTTCCCACTCCGACTCACAGCCCAATTAACTGTATGGTTTCAGAGAAAATTAACTCTACCCAATTTACATATTCTCAACTTTCAGCTGATATTACAAGGAAACTGTAAGAGGTGATGCCAATATTTCACTGGATTCCTACTCTGGATCACCCTTCCTCTTCCTGCTTACAGCCCACTGAACTGCCCACAGAAAATTCTACATAGAGAGATAGACAGATGCTGTATTTATCCTGCCACATAATGAAGAGTTACTGTACACTTTTACAGAGAGAACAATAATGATTTCCTGAACTATTCTTTATGGCTGAAAGTTTGAATCAGTTAGAGGGAGGAGCCGTGCTTCTTTACAAGGGTGGAATGGAGCAGGTGTGATGGGTTGTCCATAATTTTAGTGACCTCTGACCCTTGCTGACTCAAACTCCTCCAAATTCTCACCATTGGTGTTTCTAACCTTGCAGAATAATTTGTTCTTCCATTTGAGATTTCATTTACTTTATCAGTTGAAATTACAAGTTACAGCGCGCTGGGCATCAAATCACGTCCGTCAGCAGTTTGAATATTGTGAAAAAAGAATAGCATATATGTACATTATGGAGTGCACAGTGTTGAAGTTCCGGTAGGTGAGAGCGAGGCGTCTATGAAGTGTCACTGTTCAGCAGTCCGATGGCCTGATGGAAGAAGCTGTCCTTTAGTCTGCTGGTTCGGGACCGGATACTGCAGTACCTCCTGCCTGACGGAAGTAGTTTGAACAGTGTGTGACTGGGGTGACAGGAGTGATTGATCCTCCCTGCTTTCCTCTGACAACGCTTCTTGTACAGTCATGGCCAAAAGTTTTGAGAATGACACAAATATTAGTTTTTACAAAGTTTGCTGCTAAACTGCTTTTAGATCTTTGTCTCAGTCGTTTCTGTGATGTACTGAAATATAATTACAAGCACTTCATACGTTTCAAAGGCTTTTATCGATAATTACATGACATTTATGCAAAGAGTCAGTATTTGCAGTGTTGGCCCTTCTTTTTCAGGACCTCTGCAATTCGACTGGGCATCCTCTCAATCAACTTCTGGGCCAAATCCTGACTGATAGCAACCGATTCTGTCATAATCACTTCTTGGAGTTTGTCAGAATTAGTGGGTTTTTGTTTGTTCACCCGCCTCTTGAACAAGTTCTCAATGGGATCAAGATCTGGGGAGTTTCCAGGCCGTGGACCCAAAATTTCAACGTTTTGTTCCCCGAGCCACTTAGTTATCACTTTTGCCTTATGGCACGGTGCTCCATCGTGCTGGAAAATGGATTATTCTTCACCAAACTGTTGTTGGATTGTTGGAAAAAGTTGCTGTTGGAGGGTGTTTTGGTACCATTCTTTATTCATGGCTGTGTTTTTGGGCAAAATTGTGAGTGAGCCCACTCCCTTGGATGAGAAGCAACCCCACACATGAGAGGTCTCAGGATGCTGTTGGCATGACACAGGACTGATGGTAGCGCTCACCTTTTCTTCTCCGGACAAGCCTTTTTTCAGATGCCCCAAACAATCGGAAAGAGGCTTCATTGGAGAATATGACTTTGCCCCAGTCCTCAGCAGTCCATTCACCATACTTTCTACAGAAGATCAATCTGTCACCGTCAACAGCAGTGCCGTTGACGGTGATGGGGGTATGTGCTTCTCTACACATCTGGAAGTCTACTATCTAGCACACCTGGATGTGAACCAGCGGTCTGCTTCACAAAAAGGATGCCCCTCTTAGCAGCCAAAACAGTTTTATACCACAACAAAAACAAGTATTAGTATGACTATCTTCTCCTGTGGATCTTCTCGGCGGTCCTGCCATTTCCCCCTGTGGATCTTCTCCTCCACTCCGTCCACGTCTCAGCTCGTTTGCATCTGCTACTTTCCTGGAAAAAAGAAAGAAAAACACCTCCCTAGCCAAACCTGGATTATTAATATTATCTAGCAATTCTTAGCCGGTTATTTTGTACCTATAATGAACAAAAATATAAACGCAACACTTTTGCTCCCATTTTTCATGAGCTGAACTCAAAGATCTGAAACATTTTTTACTCACACAAAGGACCCATAACTATCAAATATTGTTCACAAATCTGTTTAAATCTGTGTTAGTGAGCACTTCTCCTTTGCGGAGATTATCCATCCCTGCCCACAGGTGTGGCATGTCAAGGTGCTGATTAGACAGCATGAATATTGCACAGGTTTCCCTTTGGCCTTTTATTGTGGGCGGTCTATGTCGGAACTGGGTTGACGACCAGGCCGCACAATCTTCATATCTGGGCCTCATCTAGTGTCCAGAAATCCAGCTGTTACACACACATCTCAGGTTTTTACTTCTCTGGAGGAAACGCACCACCTGCCTCTCTTGAACAGCTGTCTCAACAAGATCACACACCTCCCATCAGTTTTAACCGGTTACAAATTCACTTATTCTGCAAGGAAAAAAGCGAGGAACAGAGAGAGCAGGAGGGAACCTAAGTTGAAACTGTGCACAGACGACTTTAAGATTTGTACATAAAGGCAATCTAACATTTGATCGCGTGATCAGTGACAAATGAATAAGTATGTAAACTGCCACTATGTTTACATGCTCCGCTTAACGTGGAAATGCGTGTGGTCGGTGCTCTCTGGTAGTTCATCACATAGCACCACACCTCTGGTCCCAACATGTGTGTTGTGTACTAAGTGTTTTTCAACTTTGTCATTAAAATGATTTTTCCCCCGTCACACTGTTTCCTGTTGTAACTTAAAAAGACGACTAAGAAATGATTTGAATCCGTTTTATTGAAAACATCACTGTAGAGCCATCTGCTACAGTCAGCTAAGCCCAATCCCCGTTGTTGGAAAGGCTGCAATGTCAGCACAAGGTCAAACACATCATTGCTACATAATGTCACTGCCAGTGAAGATTTACTGTGCAGACCTTCAGAGAATCTGTTACAGGGTTATCTGTGCCAGCTACTGCCTAAAACAACTTACGTAGAGTTCTTGAACATTCAATCATCAGTTTGTAGTATTTCTTCAATGCAATAGGATTAGTCCTTTTTAATTTTTTGTATCAGCATGGCTTTCCGCACCTTATTACTGACAACAGTATTTCAGGATGAAAGCATGGACACACGATGGTATGAACTTTTACTGTTAGCTGGATTGTTTAATCAGTCTTTAAACCAGGCACTGGCTACAAGATGGGAAATTCTTGCACGTGTGAGACTAATTACATTCATGCCAAATCTCTTCAAAAAGCTCCCAGTAAATAAAAACAGTTGAAACACAAACGTTGACAAAAAGAGTCAAATGAAGCAAAAAGGAGCGGTCACACAAATGCTTAAAATTTACTAATCAAGGCTGATAAGTTGTCATTCACTACAATGTTTCTGCTAAACATGTAGAGCATTCCCATTTGTTACACTTCATCAAGGAGAAGTTACATATTGCACAAACATGGAACTAAATTCAAGGAATTTTCAGCAACGTTAGATGAAAGCTCGTGAG